GGGTGTGGGGGGGGGGGGGGGGGGGGGGGGGGGAGTAAGGGGAGTGGTAGAGTCGTACTAGACTTTAAGGGTTAGTTCTCCACCTGGATTTAGCCAGATCTCCATTCTTGTGAGCACAACATGGGTCATCTAGATATCCAACTACCCAATTTGCAGATGCTATCTATGCACCATAATAGAGCACACAATTATTTGCATCCAAAAACTGCAGACACAAGATGGAAGGTAAGTTTTTGAACATTATCATAGAATCATAGATAGACTTTAAGGGTTAGTTCTCCACCTGGATTTAGCCAGATCTCCATTCTTGTGAGCACAACATGGGTCATCTAGATATCCAACTACCCAATTTGCAGATGCTATCTATGCACCATAATAGAGCACACAATTATTTGCATCCAAAAACTGCAGACACAAGATGGAAGGTAAGTTTTTGAACATTATCATAGAATCATAGAACCATAGAGCTGGAAGATACTTCAGAAGCTCATCAAGTCCAGCCCCCTGCTCTAGGCAGGACCAATCCCAACTAAATCAACCCGGCCAGGGCTTTGTCAAGCCGAGACTTAAACACCTCTAGGGATGGAGACTCCATTACTTCCCTAGATAACCCATTCCAGTGCTTCACCACCCTCCTAGTGAAATAGTTTTTCCTCTTTGGTTCAAACATCAATAACTACAGCAGCAGAGTGATGTGATAGAGCAGGACCAACCTCAACTAAACCATTCCAGGCAGGGCTCTGTCAAGCCAGGCCTTAAAAACCTCTAAGGATGGAGATTCCACCAACTCCCTATGCAACCCATTCCAATGCTTCACCACCTTACAAGTGAAATAGTTTTTCCTAATATCCAACCTAGCACATCCCCACTGCACCTTGAGACCATTTTTCCTTGTTCTATTATCTGTCACCATTGAACAGCCTCTCTCCATCCTTTTTGGAACCCCCCTTCAGGTAACTGAAGGCTGCTATCAAATCCCCTCTCATTCTTCTCTTCTGCCAACTATGTATCTTCCCCTCAGCCTCCTCTTATAAGTCATGTGCCCCATCCCCTACACATTTTTGTTGCCCAACACTGGATGCTCTTCAATTTGTCCACATCCTTTCTGTAGTGGGGGGGCCAGAACTGGATGCAATACTCCAGATGTGGCCTCACCAAAGCCCAATAAAGGGGAATAATGACATCTCTGGATCTGCGGCAATGCTCCTCTTAATGCAACCTAATATGCCATTAGCCTTCTTGGCTACAAGGGCACACTGTTGGCTCATATCCAGCTTCTCATCCGCTATAACCCCCAGGTCCTTTTCTGCAGAGCTACTACTTAACTGGTTGGTCCCCAGCTTGTAACTATGCTTAGGATTCTTCCGTCGCAAGTGCAGGACTCTGCACTTGTCCTTGTTGAACCTCATCAGATTTCTTGTGGCCCAATCCTCCAATTTGTCTAAGAGCATGGTCTGAATCAGATATTTAGCAGGATTTATTAACTTGATCTGTATGATGCACATATAAATATTTTCATGTGAGTTGTGTTGGAAGAAGTACAGGTCATGATGCAGCACAATTTTTTTACTGAAATACATTGTTATGTTGGAAGGTATTAATGTTGGACAGCAAGCAGGTCTCATTTAGAGAAACACAGACCTTATAAAAGCCAATACAATTTCTAGCCACCCTGCTTTCAGGAAAAATGGAAGGAACAACTGTCTCTTTACGCAGTAATAGCTGGAAACAATGGGAATTCACTACCCAAGTCAGTGCTCCATATGGCAAGGCCGACCAGAGGTTAAACTATATGGATTGAGAGATTTTCCTGGGACTGATTGAAAACACAGCAGCTAATGGAAAGTTTAGCAAACCATTTGTGTGAGAGAGGCAGAAAGTAGAGAAAGCAGATATGTGCATACAGGATTACACCAAACAATATCTGACACATCTCATCAATTTCTCCTTCTACTGGACACAAACCTGTTAAACCCCAAATACTTAATGCTTAATGGTTTGGGTCATGGGGCAACACAATGAGCTGCTACTCACCTTTTTTAGACGTGTACAATTATTTTACTTAGGAACAATAGCTTTTTTCAATGCTGTCACCTTGGCACGGCTTGCCCCCTGGTCCTGGTGCAGGATTATTACACTGGCGACTTCGAGTGCGTTCTCCCTGTGCACAGGCAGACCAAGCACTCCAACAGCTCCAGCCCCCATCAGTGACGCTTTTAACTGTATTGGGCCAAAGCAATGTTAGTTCAGCAACATGCTGCCTTGGCTGTGGTAGCACAAGGGCAACTCTCTGAAATTCAGGAAGTTACTATTTTGAAGGCGCACAAGATGGTGTAGTAAGTTAAGGGTCAGTAACATGGAGTCAACAGGCCTGAATAGAGGCCTGTAACATGAAAAACAGCAACAGGCCTACAATCTAGTGAGCAAGACTTTGGTTCAGTAACACAGGAGCCAAGAAAGAGGCCCTATTGATAATTGTATAAGTTAGGTTGAGCATGGAAGGACGCAGGGAGACACTGGGTACAAACTGTAAGCCAAAGGGGAGTAACGGAACATCTTAGTGAGAAATGTCTTGGTACAAAGACTCCCTAAAAACTAATGCACATACCAACCTAGGTTCAGGACCGGGTCGAGATTGACAGCATGAAGGATAGTAAGTAAGCCCCCCTTCTGTAAGATGAGGGGTGGTAACTAGGCAACAGAGGGTGGTAACCTGGTACGTTAAAAAGTGATGTAAGTTGTTTATACCTGTCTATAAAAGGACACTGCAAAGGGTGCTCGCCGGCTGACCTTGGGGTGGGGGGGTGCACTAGGTGCCTGAACGGCAGGTGTCATTGCCTAAACTTACAGAACGCACAGTAGCTTAACTTTGACTAACTGCTGTTAATATCTGATATATGGCAATAGGCCTGCCCGGTGTTGGTACCTTGTCAATGCGGGCCACAATGCCCAGTGGTGTAACATTGTACTGATCTCTGTTACCAACTGGTAGAGCTTCGCATCTGACAATAAATCTGCTCGATTGATTTTAAACTTTGCCTGCATGTGTCGTTTCGGGGCCTCTCAGAGATCTCTTGTGTTGACCCAAGTGCACGGGGTCTAACACTCTAGATAAAGGGAGTACCGATTGTTATGCATGCAGCCAAAAGTTTATCATCACCGACGGAGTAGAGGTCCTGTCAGGAGCATGCCAGGACAACCGTGACCAGACGACGCTGACACTGAAAGTTCAGCCCACCAAAGGTACCGAGGTACAAAACACTGAGGTACGACAGAAGGAACAGAATTTGGCCCACACTCTCACCTATGATGGCTCTAGAAATGCAAAACCGCATTTTCATCACAGACTGGGCGCTTGAAAACACATATGGCCAAAGACACTGCTGGGTGCTTGGCAGTTTTGGAAATCCAGCCACATATGTAAGTGTCAAAGTCAAATGCAGAGCCTCATTGTGGACACCTATTCTATTAACCCTTGGCCACAAAGGAGAATGTGCCAGTTCTACAGGATCACTTTTCAGGACAGAACAGCATTAAAATAGCCATTTTTACCTTAAGCTTTGACTACAGTGGGGGGCAGATCCTCAGCTAGTGTAAACTGGCACAGCACCATGGAGATACAAGGATTTACACCAGCTGAAATTTTTTAGTCATTGTTAGACAATTTTCACTGGTGCAGCTAATCATGAGTTATAACTAGATAGCTGCCCTTGTATAATTTGTACCACATTAGTGCAAATTGTGTCTATACTAGGGGGTTGCACTGGTTCAGCTCCATCAATGGCTAAAACCCCAGTGTAGATAATGAGAGGACACCTTACATTAGAGGTAAGCAAATACCAGCCTACAGGCCGGATCTGGTTCCCCAAGGTTAGTTCTAAGTGGGCCACCACTGATATATTTATCTGCGCCTCCCCAGGTCTGGCAAATTACAGATTCTGTTGGCTGTGGATCTCTGTTCCCAGCCAATGGGAGCTGCAGTGATCCACGGCCAACAGGAGCTGCAATCACCTGTATCTGCAGAGGTGTAGGTAAATATAGTGGTGGTGACCCATCAGGGCTAACTCTGGTGAAGTGCTGCCATTTTATTGCTCACCCTTGCCTTAGATAAAAAGCTACGATTACCTCAGTGATAGTATTATTCCTTACACTTCCTATCAATTGCCACAAATACTAAGTAAGGATTTTTAGTGATCTAAAGCCTGGGGCAAATTGTGAAGGATGAGCACTGCAGGACAGAAGAGTGTTACAGGCCAGGTAGAATGTCAAAAGAAGACTGATTTCCTCCATTGTCCTTTGTGTTAATAGCTTTCAGGGAATAGCTAGTGGCAAGGCTGGAAAGATGTGATGTAGAGATGGCACTTGAAATATTAGTCTGCCTACTTATTGGCACCTAAGTGATACTGGACCAATCTAATTGTAAGCCTGAGCTGTGAGATCATGCAACATGACACATGCATTTCTGAGTACTGGGACTTTTGCAGAGAACCTGAGGAAACCCAGCAAAGAAAGTGGGAAAGGCTCTTCTGCGCTCTGGTCAATGCCAAACCACATTTTTGCTCAGTTCAGTTTGTTTGGGAGAGTTTTTGGGTGTCTTTACAAGGCACAGTAGTGAATGGGGATAGAAAGCAATCTCTGGTTGAATATCTTCTCTGCATTACTCTTTCCAGAAATACCCTATTGATTAAAAATACCTTCTATCTCTCCTGCCCAGCTGAATAGGTCAGTAGGATGTGTACGTCTGTTCTGTGATATAGGAACGTACAGAGAGTCTTTCATTTTGTCTGGATAAAGACCATATTTTCACAGTGTGCTGTGACCAGGGCTGGCCTTACCTACTGAGGTGGCTGCCTCAGGTGCCAGACTGTGAGTGGGAGGGGGGGAGGGGGAGCACTAGGACTCAGAGAATTGAGACCTTTCAAAGTTTTGGCCCAAGCAAGAGGGCATGGGGGTGTCATTTGAGCTCCCTGCCTCAGATGCCAAAATGTTGTGGGCTGGCCTGGCTGTGACATGTTCATCTTAGCCCTGCTTAGAACATTGATAGTGTGTGAGTATCTACAAACCTTCCTTTGGTGTTGGTTTGGGGATCTGGCAGGCATCTCCTTTAAAATAACTGGAGCATAGGCATGTGCACTCTCCATCCACCAGCAACAAGGTCCCGCCATTTTTGCAGGGCTCACATTTGCACACACTATACTCTGTAATGTAGTCCTCAATTGCTCTTTCCAAATTCTGTTTCTTTATATGTGCATCTTTCATTTTTACTGGAACAAGAGTATGTATCGGAGATGGCTGTAAAGGCAAAAAACCCCACATATGAGACACATTATTTTCCCTATAATCATGGCTCAGTCCTTTCTTGATACAAATCTTTAGACAATGTTCTTTAAAACAAATCTTTTCTTCTGATAACATGAAGTCTCCTTATAGTTTGCTCTCTGTATTTGGCACACCTGGTGGATGTGGGTTATTTTAAGTAATGGCTTGCAGATCAGATAGCTCAAGATTCAGATCCCCCTAGTTGCACCCAAAATATGTTGCAGAGCTCAGTGACATTTGCTTCCTCCAAAGAACAGGTTGGAAAATGATATTGACTATAATGTATTTGTGCAGATAAACCAGCAATTCACCCATTGCCTGGAATCCTCTGTTCTTTTCTGGTCATCTTATCTCAAAAATGTTTATCTAAAAGATACACTGTAGTGCAAACAAAAAATATTTCAGGGAAGTTCTATCACCTCTATAGGAAGTCTGACTAGATCGGGGTGGGCAAAAGGGCCTCCACGGGCCAGATCCGGCCTGCCAAGCGGGTTGATCTAGCCTGCGGAGGCCCGTCACTCCCCTGCCCCCATGCCAATTAGCACCTGGGGACTGGGGAAAGGAGGAGGAAGAGCACAAAGTTTCCTCTGCCCTACTAGGAGCATGCGGTGCTTTGAAGCTCCACATGCTCCTGGCAGGGCAGGAGGAGACTTTGCACACTCCCCCATTCTTAAGCCCTGATTGGTCTGGGGCGGGAGGAAAGTGCAAAGTTTCCTTTGCCCTGCCCCACTCTGAGAGGTGCATGCAGCACTTAGAAGTGCTGCGCACCCCTGGCAGGGTGGGAGGATGCTTTGTGCGCTTCCCTGCCCCCAGGCCAATCAAGCCCTGGGAAGGCAGGAGCACGTGCAGTTTCCTCTGCCCTGCCTCCACCCTGAGAGAAGAGTGCAGCACTTAGAAGTGCCACATGCTCCTGGCAGGGTGGGAGGAGGCTTTGCGTGCTTCCCCACCCCCAGGCCCTGATTGGCCTAGGAGTGGGAGAGCATAGGAAGTCTCTTCCCACAGCAAGGGGCATGGGTGCTTAGTGGGAAGGGGGGAAAAAGGGGCTTCCCCACCCCCAGACTAATTATGGTCTGGGGGTAGGGAAGCCCGAAGCATCCTGGCCCTGCCCCTTCTGGAGTGGCCCCCTGCCACTTCTGGAGTGGCCCGGGGCCACTTAAAATTTTTTTGAAGTGGCCATGGGTAAAAAATGATTGCCTTCCCCTGGACTAGATGATCACAGTCATCCCTTCTAGCCTTAGAATGTATTCATCCATTAAGAAAGGACCAAAGCTGCCTAGATGAACTAAAAGGAAGAAACTGTCTAAGAGTTCATGGTAAACAAAGTCATCCTGGTATATTCCGTACCACGGGAAAGGAAATTTTTACAGGTAATTAGGATACATGAATTTATTACATACTCGGCATAGAAGAATCTCTCCTTACCCTCTGCTGTATCAGCACTGGAGCATCAATCAGTGAGCTAGCCCACTGAATATAATCCTCTACATCAACCACTTTGGCATTTCTCAGAAGCATTTCTTTTATTTTAACGGAAAAATCAATCTTTCCTCCCTCAACCAAAGAAATGATGTCATCAATAACCCAGTTGTCATCATGGCTCCCTGCACAGAGAGAAAGAGAGAGAGAGAGAGAATGACTTGAAGTTTATGGACCACAGATTGTAGCACAAATCAGCCCACCTCTCCCAAAAGTGACAAGAAGAAAGATTTCATTTTATATGACTGCAGGGAAATCTTATCTCACTTGGCTATTTCTCCATCATTTGAGAGAAATCTCACTTTGACTTTTGTAATCACATTGGAATGCCAAAAACATAGGAAAAGAAAAAGAGTTTCTAAGGGGTAAGCACGGCATAGATGGACAGATGGGTACAGCAGACAGCACAGGAATGGGTGTAATACCTACTATTTAATGAGTGCCTATGTATCAGCCAAGCTGAACAAGGAAAGGACAAAGATTAAACAGCCCTGGATAACACAGCTAAGAACTGAGCTGCATATACAAAGCAATGCAGGGAACCTTGCAACACCTGACTGAACTGTACTTGGCAAGGACTTTTTCTCCCTTAGCCTTTTGCAATCAATATTAGCTTAAATATTTAAATTGGTCTTAAAAGATGGGGAGGAAATAAACATCCCGGCTAGACTGTAACTTGCAAGTAGGAATAAGAGATCCTCCGGAAAAGGGCTTTATTCCGGAGGATCACGCCAGTCTAGACGCTCTTTTCCGGCTTTTCCCCAAGCCGGAAAAAAAGCGGCGGCCATGTTTATTTAAATCCCGCGGGGGAAATTTAAATCCCCCGCGGATTTCTCTATTCTGACTTGCCAGCTTTGCATGCCTCTTCCGGAGAAGGGGCCAGTCTAGACGTAGCCTCCCCCCTCTTTAAACAGAAGAGCTTCCAGTTTTGATCTCATATACTTACGATTTGATTTCACATTGATGAGTTCACATTTACCACCTTTCACATGAGATTTCAAATCCAGGCTTTTATCTAGTAGACTGACATCTAAATTATAACCAAGACATTTCTTTACATCTTCTACCTTGAGTTCTGTAAATGCAATTAATTTGGAGATCATTAGGGGAAAACACATATTTGGGTTGAGAAAAGGAAACAGAAAAAATACATACAATTTTATACTTCTTGGGAGCCAAGTTTCGGGACTGTTGAAAAAAATTATTGCTTTCATCTTTTCCCTATCCTTTGCCCTACCAATTTATGAATTCAGTGAAGTTTGTCCCTGTAATTTTGACCTATTGATTAGGAAAACACTAGGTACACACTTTCTGCTTGCAGCTCTTCAAAAAGTAACAGTCACCTGTTCTCCAGGGTTGCCCTTTTTTGAGGGATGAGTCTTTCATCTGGGGATTGTGTCTTTTTTGGTCACATCTCATTTCTTTATTTTTAGGTCTGTTGTATCATAGAATTCTTTCAAAAACTGCAAAAACAGTTCTAACACAAATAACTACCACAGCTGCATTCAGCTAGGTTCTTGATTTTACTACCCATTAAAATAATGGATACAAAGAGATCAACTAACAAATTACCTCTTACGGTCACTGAGTGAATTTTGTAGCTCAGCTAGCATTAAGATTTGGGGTCCTCTATAAATCAGGCCACATTGTCACCAACCAGTACTAGTACCTTGAATAGTGTTTAAATAAAATATTTTCTCAGATGGTTGACTTCCATCCAGATTCTGATTTCACTTACACTGATAGAATTCTTGGTAATTCCATTGATGTCACTAAAGTGACTTTTGTGTAACTGGGATTAATGTTTGGCTCAGGACTTTAATTCTGAAAACTAATGGCCAAGGCTCCTATCCTACAATGAGGTACACAACATGGGCAGATCTTTGCATCTGCAATGAGCCTCATTGACTTCAGTCAGCTCTGCACAAGGTTGTCTGTCCACACATTTCATTGCAGGATTGGGGCCTATTTGTTGAGCTGGGAGCTATAGGAAGAGCAATAAAATGAATACCTTTTACACTCATGGCAGTGTCATCCAACACGTACAGAAGTTCATATTTTCCTCCCACAGTCCCAGACACAGCATAGTGTGTTCCATACGTTTCTAGAAATCTAAAATATTCCCCCTTTTCATATTCAGTGGGCAGATACTTCACATCTTCAAGGAAAGAATCTGTTAGCCGGACATCACGATTTCGCATTTGGAATCTTCCCAGTTGTACGTTTCCTTTGACATGCAAATAGGTTTGTTTCTGTACAAAATGCACAATCGGACATGTTTTGTTCAATAGAAAATGCAGAACTTTCAAATATTGTACAGGATACTCTAGTGTTTTGGAACATTGGGCAAACTTATTAGACTAAAGAAGACATTACCTAAAACTTCACCGAATTTTAATCTGAAGAAGCAGCAAGAAGTTAAATTACTTTCATTTTCTCCCCATTTCTGCACAACTCTGATTCCCAGTTTCAGTAAATCAGACCCTTTGTATTCTACAGTTTACAGACATCACACAAGCCATTTTTTTTAAAATCAGACTCTATATAAAATACTTTCCTGACTTAATTTTGTAACTTAAAAATAATTCAAACCTGTTTGTCAAATAATGGGCACCTACAGACATCAACTGGAAATGTACCATTGCTTACTATGGAAACAGGATTAGGATCTTCCTTTTTTGAAAGTACCCTGCTATTCTTACACTGTCAGAATGAAGGGTATAGTTTTGTTTAAAAAACACATATGATGAAAGCAAATCAGCAGAGTTCCCACCACGCAAAACAGTGTAAGTTGTAGGAGCGTCACACCCCGCTTGAACTAGATTTAATACTATATACAAATCATCATTAAGACTCTCACACTGCTGAGGTTAATGCTTAGAGGACAGCTCACATTGCAGCTCAAATTGAGGTTGTGGTGTTGAATATTTCATATGCTAAAGATAGGAGCATGCAACACAGAACAGTTTCATTTAAATGGTGAAAACAAAAGAATAAATTCAATGCCTCAAGTCAACATTAAGTGAAACAAATCCACACAAAGCCCAAGACTTTCTAAAACAGGAGCCTGAAGTTTGGCCTCCCATTTATGGGGAATGTCTTCAAATGCAGGCATGAGGTTGCCAAATCCCATTCTATATAACTATAGTCTTTTACGGGGTTGGACAATAAAAAGGCAACAGTCTGGTGGGCCTCCACCACTCTATTTTCCTGAACCTCTGTAGGTAGCGGCAATTGTAGCTCTTATTGGCTGTGGATCGCTGTTCCTGGCCAATGAGAGCAGCAGAAAGTGGTGCAGACCAGGACGCCACTTCCCACTGCTTCCATTGGCTAGGAACAGTGATCCATGGCCAATGAAAGCTGTGGTTGCTGAAATCTGTGGAGACACAGGTAAATATAGTGGTGGAGGCTGCCAGGAGATAACTCTGATGATCAGGCCCGTGGGCCAGTATTTGCACATCCTGGTCTTCTAAGACCCTCATTAAAGTAGAGCTAAACACATCAGAATATTTAATGATTTGTATCCTCTCAATGCTCCTGTAAAATAAGCTGCTACTATTGCCCCCATTTGACAGAGGACAACAGAAAACACATTGTCAGATGAGAAGTGGGCTGTGATCACGAAAGTTCACGAGGCCATCTACATGTTTTGTTAGTGCTACCAGACCATTTGTTCTTTTTTAAGTTTACCCTGGCAGCTTAAAACTGATGTACCTGCCTCCTGCTCCACCCCCAGGTTATGGCATAGGAAATGGCCAAGGAAAATGGTGAGTTGCTGGATTTTTCTTGGACTCTGGAGATTCTCTACTGCTGGAATGAACTCTTAGAAGCTATTGCAACTGGTTAAACTTAGAGGAGTTCTTTGTGACCTGTTTCCCTCGGAGAAGTGCTGCGCAAAAAATGACCAGTCTTGAAGATCTAACCCTTAGGATATTAACTCAAGCTTTGCCCACCTGGGTTTTCATTGCAAGTTGTTATTTAAAGGCCATGTCTTATTTGCAGCTAATGGAATAGATCACAACTGTTCCCTGATAAAGATGGATCATAGCATATGGATCTCTCTGGTTTTTGGGAGCATCAACCTGTACTGAAGACTAAAGTGGTGAAATGTGGGTCAAATACAACTTAATTTGGCAACCACTGAAATAAAAACTTTAATCTTTACATTGCCAACATTTTGCCAGTCCCACATATATGATGCAAGGAAAGCAAGAGGCATCCTGAGCAGTTTGGAAGATAAATACTTGTATAGTTCAACAGGATGCTACTTTCAGGTCCTATGAAATTACTACATCAGACGCTTTATGCCACTGAGCTTACCGTTTCTTTGGAGACTCGCAAGATCGAATTTAGACTTCTATTCTTTGAAAATTGGTAGTTAGCAGACACATTTGCAGGTGCACCTTCAGTAGGTGTATATTTTATTGACATGGAAGCTGAAAAATGTTCTCGTTTTTCTTGATAAACCTCTCTTATCATGGTCACATGATCCCTGTAGGACTCAGTTGAGAATTTTTTGTCTGCTTTCGTCTTGGGGAAAAAGACCATAACAGATAAAAACCATTAACAAAAAAATGTATTAACAAAAACACAATCAATTGAAACTTATGTAATGAACAGATATTAAAACTACAAGTTTCATTCTCAAGTCATCGCTGATGGCATGATAAAACAATCTATATAATACAGGTGTTGAGGGGTACATAGTAGATGAGGGTCTAGGGATTTGACAGGGATAGCACACAATCAGTTTGTACAGGATTTAGACCCAACATTCAAGAAATAGAACTACATTCAATACATGGGAAACAGAAAGGTTTGTTTCTATGATTGTATTATTTCAAAATTAGCAAAATCTTAATATGATTGCTGGTCAAAAAAAGATATCAATTGAAACTGTTTTGAGATGGAAAATTGTGTTTTGATAAAATTAAGTTTGGTTTGTTTGTTTTGCAAAAAGTCTCTTTTCCATGGAAAATTTCAGTTTTTGTTTTAAACAAATGTCTTAAATTAAAAATATTTAGGTTTTGTTGTCAGGGTGTGGTGCCACATGGGAGCTATAGTTTTTTTCTCTTCTCTGGGCTACATCTCTATGATTAGGATTGGTGGAATTTTATATTTTTACTATTTTGATGGATAATATCAATGTTCATTTTTCAGCATTTGTGTTCTTTTTATCCATTTAACTGTCACAGTTACACAAAAATATGGGTTTTCATCAATTTTTATCCATTTAAATTTTCAGATTTATGGGAAATCATTGGGGGATCATATAATTATTTAATGATAATAGACATGGATTTCATAAAGCTAATGCTTTTTAAGTGTCAAATTGTCAACATCACATACCAAAATACACCAAGTAAGTAGCTTTAAATCAAACTCTTAATATTTCAAGCACCATTTTTCTTACTTTGCCTATTGGTAAATTTGGATTATTATTGATGGAAATACATTTTAGTCAGTTTGTGTGGGTACAGTGACTTGAGATTTACCAACAGTTATTGAGAAAAATCAAATCTTTCCAAGTCTACCTATGATGCGCCATGGCTAGGGACTCCCAGGATAAAGCAGCCTCCCCTCATCAGGAGGGGAGACTTGTGGTTTATCACTGGAGTTGTAACAGAATCGGGGAGTCTGGCCTGTATAGAAAAACGGGTGCACAGTCTGACCCACATCTCACATGAGACACTATGCCAGCATTTTTAAATGGAAAAATTGTGGTTTTCAGCTGAAAAATGTGTTAAACGTTTCTGTGGAAAAACTTGATAAAAACAAAATTTTCTGTGGAATAAAAGCCCATTTTCTGACCAGCATTAATTAGTATGTAAAATAACTGTTGCTGCACTTTCATCTTGATTTCCCTCTAGAACAAGAAGAAACTGGAGACTTGATGCTTTCAAAATATAAAGGTGAATATTTTCAAGCGACTAGCAATTTTGGGTGTCAAGATCAGGGTCTCAATCTGAAACACTTTGAAGTGACCTGTCTTTTAGGAAAATGCTATACACCTCACCTATGAAAATCAGGTTCCTTTACATTGGCACCCAAAGCAGAAGTCACTTGAAGATTTGGCCAAAGGCTGCTGAATATAGGGATTCATTTGGATTTTATTTTTCTATTTGGCTATTTATTTGGATATTTATTTTTTATCTCTGCTTGCAGTCTGAGACAAATGCCTGTCAAATTGTGACCATTTTGTTAGATTCAATTATGACATGCATGGCTATTTTAATGATTTTTGCCTTTGAAGGGTGAGTGTAAAAGGGCAAAATCACCAGTTTCAAATATGGTATGAATGTTTTCATAAAACTGTAACAAACAAAACAAATGGACAAAACACATGCACATGTACACACACATGATTTGGATCAGCTCAGTTGTTCACAAGTAAGAAAAGTTGCCACAACTCTCTTCTCCCCCTCACTTTTTTTTGGTTCAGTAGGTGTAAAGTCTTTGCTATGTAAACTTGGGGAAATGCCATTACATTTCAAGGATTATAATCTTCAATTTCCCATTAGAATGCAAATATGAATCTTTATAGGGTCTCAACGTCAGACATGAAGCAGAGTTGCCATTTTATTTTCCATCTTCAGTACCTGTAGTCTGGCTAATTCCAAATACCTCCTGTTAATGTTAAATAAATATACTAATAGTGTCATTTTTTGTATTAGCAAAATATATAGATTTGGTAACAAAGAAATGCTGCTAGCACCAAAAATAAATACACATGCTGCATGTCAATGCTTTATGAGTCATGTTTAGCTAGCCTTACTTGTATTGGCAGATAACCTTAGCTGCTATGAAGTCAATTGGATAGATAAGTTATACTTGCTTAGGTCTGGAAATATTTCTCTGGGAAAATTTAACTGAATAAGGAACTTTTAATATTTTTCAGGAATTTCTTATTCAAGCACCCTTAAATTAATGTCTTGCTTATGTAGATGCAGAGACCTAGGTAGCTATAGTATAGTAATTATCTTTAGCTATAAACTGAACTGAGGCTGAGGCACCAAAGAAATTTTAAAACTAATGTGAGTTAGTGTCCGAATCTCATAGAAGGCACTGAAAATCTTCATCTGAATCAGCAAAGGAAAGGTGATCTACTGGTTATGAGACCCAACGCAGGTCAAAAGAGCTAGGCTCTCTGTGGGTGTGTCTAGACTGGCAAAATTTTGCGCAAAATGGCTAAAATGGCGAAGGGGGCTTTCTTGCACAAAATCGCGTCTAGACTGGCCACGGATGCTTTTGCGCAAAGGCACTTTTTGCGCAAAAGCATCCGTGCCAATCTAGACGTGCTTTTGCGGAAATACTTTTAATGGAAAAGTTTTTCCATTAAAAGTATTTCCGCAAAAGCACGTCTAGATTGGCAACTTTGGGAAAGTTACTTAATCTCAGTGTACTTTAAGTCCCCATCTGTAAAATGGGCATCATAATGCTCCCTAATTCTCACCTGTTATCTGTGTCTTGACAATTTAGATTGTAATTTATTTGATAAAAGGACTGCCTCTTATGATGGACTGATTGAACAGAGCATGATAACCACTTGGGTATGTCGTCCACATCTGCACTAGAAGTTGGAGGTGTGGTTCCCAGCTCAAGTGAACATACTTGTGCAGGCTGGCACTGAGGTAGTGCACTAACATAGTAGTCTAACTGATAGCACAGGTAGTGGCAAGAAGTACAAACCCACCCAGACCCTATAGTACATGCTCAGGGAGGCTAGCCAGGCTGCTACTCATTACAGTCCCTGCCACCTCAGTTACATTACTATTTTAGGGACTACTTCAATGAGAGCTAGAACAAATGTGTGTGTGTCAGCTTGAAATCACACCTCCAGCTCCAAATAGACACAAGTGTTCCCTCTAAGCTGCGAGGTAGCACAGCCCTGTAGCTACTTAATGAGCTTCACCCAGCAAGAGTCTCAGACTGCTCTATGAGCGGAGTCTTGGTTGGCAGAGGGGCACTTTCCCTCAGCTACAGCAGCACTTCCCCAGCCGGCATGGATGGGACATGATTGAAGTGACAGTTTTGACATCCTGTTGAAAAACTAAAGCTCAGTCGACTCCCTCCTGACTTTTATGCAGAGACTTACATCGTAATTGATAACAGGAACATTCCATGGCTTGCGGTAATAGGTTTTGGTATTCCCATCACGCACTCTGTCACAAACCCCATTGTAATACTCATTTTCAAATGGGCTTGCCATAGGCTGCATCCCTAGAATGTTGATTCTACAAGGAAAATGAAGGCATGTGTTAAATTCCAAAATGTTGATGTTAGCACCTTTAGCCTGTAGATAGCAGTATTATGAACTAGAAAAGCCAGACAGCATAAAAATTACAGGACAGCTAACAGAATACTGAATCTTTTTGGAATTTAAAGAGTTGGAGTTCCTGTTGTTCAACATTGATATTAAAGATCCTGAGGCTTTTCCACAAGTGTGAGGGTTTGCCGTCCCTCTGAACCATTGTACTAACCTAATTCATCTCAGAAGGTACTACATCAGTGGAGCCATAAGTGTACTATCAGGTATGTATGTTAACAATCTTTATAAACAAATGTAGGGGTTCACAGGAGTTTAGGAGGAAATGTTGATAGTATAAATCAAAAGACTAACTAGGAAGCACTATGTTCTAATGGATAGGGCATGACATTAGGACTTGAGAGAGCAACATTCTAGTCCCAGCTCTGCAACTGGGATGCTCAGTGACACTAGCTCACCTCTTGGAGCTTTAGTTTTCCCATCTGTAAATTGGGGAGAATGACATGTCCTTTGTAAAGCGCTTTGAAGTTGTGGATGAAAAGTGCAGGAATGAACAAGTGATTGATATTATTAACAACAATGAAACATGATGGGATTCTTTCAAATGAAATGAAACCTGTAAAAAAACCTATTTCTTCTCAAATAGCAATTTGTAGTTAATCTTTATGGGATCAAAATAAGGAGATTTTTTTCCAATGCACTTTGATCAGATTGTTTCTAATTCTCACGATTATGCTGTCTATTACTGCATTTTGCAATACTAAGTGTGTACAGAAGCCACACATCCCTCAGGAGGAATATACAGCTAATGATATTGTAGACTCTGCTCCTGAAGAATTAGTGCTAGATCACTATGATGGCCAGATGGTAATCAAGTCATTGAAACAATACCCTTTCTGGTTGAAATGGCAAGAAACTGTTTTTTCTTTGTGATCCTGTCTAATATCTGTTTTGTGGGCATTGATTCTAGACAGGATCACAAAGAAAAAACAGTTTCTTGCCATTTCAACCAGAAAGGGTATTGTTTCAATGACTTGATTACCATCTGGCCATCATAGTGATCTAGCACACCAACTGTCATTCATACTTAAATTCAACACTTTTCACCTAGGTCTAAACAAAGACATTAATTATCTTTCTCATTACAAAGATAGCTTCCCCAATTATCACCTCTAATATCATTAGCTCACAGACATTTACCTCCCCCCGCATTCCCCTTCTGTTCTGAAATTTGATTTGTCCTTTTCATATGTGTTCATTTTTTTAATTGTACCTTTGGCATATATGGTTGTGCAAATTTTCTTCCACTATTTGATCTGAGGAAGTGGGTCTGGCCCACGAAAGCTCATCACCTAATAAACCATCTTATTAGTATATAAAGTGCTACATAATTATTTCAGAATAATGACCGCTATTCCAAAATAACTTTGCTGTGTAGCTGAAGCAAAAAACAGGACTATGTGAGCATCTACACACCAATTCCGTTATTTTGAAATAATTTTGAAATAACGGACATCTTATTCTGACTTCTGTAAGCCTCATTCTATGAAGAATAACGCCTATTCCAAAAGAGCTATTTTGAAATGTGGTGTGTGTAGATGCTCCACTGCTGCTATTTTGAAATAGCCCCCCACTAGGGCCATTCTAAGTTATTCCTCCTGGGCCTCTAAATTGAGATAGCGCAGCTACAGTAGGGAAGTCTGCCTCAGACTAATTTTGAGACTTCCCTGCAGTGTAGACGTGCTATTTCAAAATAAGCTATTTAGGAATAACTATTCCAAAATAGCTTATTCCGAAATAACTGTACAGTGTAGATGTAGCCTTCGTGTTATAATTATGATGAAAGACTTTAAAGTTCCTAGCACATTTTTGGGAACTTCAGAAATAATTGTTGCATGCTTTCCTGTTATAAAAGCCTTCATTTACCCATTTCAGACTTATTCGTAGACAGAGATGATGGGGAGAGTCTATAATTTTCAGTTGAACACTAGATGGAGCTGCAAAATTCTGATATTTTACTCCAGTTTATGCTGCTGATTTCCAGTTCAATTTGTAGATAAATTACAAAACCCCAAAACAAAAGAGAACAAGGCTCCCAAACCAATAACCAAACTGAACAAACCAACTAACAAACCTGGAGGAGCAGAAAGGAAAGGCAAACATATGAAGATGAAAAACGCTGCTGTAATCAATGAAGCTCAGGGGAGTATTTACTCCATAAGATATTTTTAAAAAACCCACTATAAACATTTTACTTGTATTCCCTGCCCAAATCCATATAAATAAAGGCTTGAAATATTTGGTTATCGGTTTCTTGCTAAACTCCATTTCTAGACTGGCCAGGAGTGGAGAACTGGAGAGGCGGAGTCTCAATATTATATCCATCTCCCTCTGGCAACCTCCTTGGCATTACTCCCTCAGATTTGTGTCACAAAATCCAGCACCAGTGGCTTGGCCATTTTTTTAGACCCATAATGACCAAACTTTATATGCTCTGGAACACAGCGCATGGTACAAAGTAGCAGAGGCAGTCAATTATTTTTTGGTAGAAGTCCAAATTTCTTGGTCAAGGTAGAATCAAAATTCAGACTCAAGAGAAAACAATAAAAAATAACGATAAAGATTTTGGGGTCCTTTCAAAAGCATCTGGTGGTCTGGCTTTAGCCTTTGGTGCATTTATTGAATACCCCCGTATACACCTTGTGCCTGGAGGAATACAAATATAGCCACAGCAGTGGGGCCTAGTCAAAATGTTGCTGGAAAATGGTGGCCACATACTGGAATGGGGATGGGAAGGAGGAGGTTCTCTGGTCACTCTCCAGGAAGAACAGCCCAGCTCTGATGATGTTGGTACCATCTCTTGCAAAACAGAATTAAAATACCTTTGGCTGTCTTCCCTAAAGCAAATACTACAGCAGCAACAATTGACACTTATGGTGCTTTCTGCCTGATCACAGGACATTAGTAAGTATTATTAACCCCAGATGAGTAAAAGGAAACTGAGGAGAAGCATTTTGCCCAATGGAAACCTGGGGCTTAATCATCTGCTGAATGTCTCCTAACTTTGGTGCCATATGTTCTGAACCAGGGTGTTTCCTTTTAGCTATGGCTTTTCATTGAATACCCTTGTCCAGCAGTCCGTCCAATCTCTGATACTTCAATGTCTGGATCACGACATGGTGATTTGGGATCCTTCTCACAGTCACTTTCATCAGACGAGTCTCCACAGTCATTGTCCACATTACACACAAGCCGCCTCTTTATACATCGACCTAAGCAAAGAATGAAGAACTGGATATTTCTAATTCTTTTTTTACATGGGTTTTAAATCAGAAATGCAAATATTCCTCACTGGGATCTTCCTCTTAAAAAGTGTATTTTCATTTCAGCCAGAGAGCAGTAAAAAACTTCTAAATGAGGAAAACATACTTTTAAATTGGCCCATTTTTTTTATTGGGAGGGCACAGGAAATTAAATGGTTGGAGAATTTCTGACATTCATAGAGAATTAAACTTTGTTTGATTTTTAGATTATTCTGTAATTTCTAGATTTGGGGTATTTTTCTTTGAAGTGTAAGCGAGTGGGAAAACATTAGTGCTTACTGGCTAGTATCAGCAAAGTCATAATTTTGAGTTGCTTCAGTGATCAATATCTGAGAGGATGTAGCACAGATACTCAATAATTTGTGTTCTTTGTGACATACAAGCAAGGGGAGAAATTCTGACACCATTGAAACCATTGGGAGTTTTGCCATTAACTTCAATGAAGTGCTGATATCACCTCAGTAGTTTAGGAAAGATTAATTTTCTCTCCATGACTTAAATTATTTAAGAAGATGCAGTTTACTGATGTCAATTAGTTAGCCTGTAAAGTGCTAGCTAATGTCTATAGAAGGATATTGAAAGATGGCTTGTGGAAGATTATTTTACATAGGGGCATTGATAAATCAATGTCATGGAGTTTTGTAATTTTATGTTTTCTAACCGGGTTTGAACTTAGATCTCTAGAGACAAATGGGGGAAAAAATTAACAACTCCATTTGAAATGGATGCAATGAAAGAAATGAAACATATGGAACTGGCAACTTTTCACCAAGGAATAGAAAGAACAGCTAAGAAATTTAAGCCTAACTATGCAGGCCCTCATTCAGTGAACCATCCATATTCAGCAAAACACTAACAAATGTATTTAACTTTAAGCATGTTAAAATCTATTGGCATTAAAAGTGATATGAACATGTGCTGAACATTAAGTAGATGATAGTATTCTTTGCTGAAGTGAAGCCATAATTAACCTAGCGTGAAAGAAACACCAACCTGAATCACATCGAAAGTCAGCTCCACAATCAATTTCTTGCTCTTCTGGACAGGGTATGTTGGTTTTACAGCTTTGTACATCTCCCAATGATTCCAGGCACCGTTTCCCACCAAACTGTCCAAATTGCTGAACACTTCTAGAGCGAAACTACAAAGATATAAAACAAGAATTACACTAGCTTAAAAAAAGGAAAGACAAATAATCTCAATATAATTTGGAATTTTCCCCATCAAAATTTTGAAATTGCATCAAAATTAGAAAAATGTCCACAACCTGATAGGTTGAAAACTAAGAAATATATTTTGTAGAAATTTTAATCAATGCTTTCTTTTTTGTCTTTTAATCTCAAAATTGTAAATGTTGTCAACATTAGAAATTGAACACATCTTGACTAGCCCTAATAACAATCAAAAATAATATTTTGCACTTACGCATCATTTTTACAATATGTCAAAACAGTTTACAAGTCACACCTGTGAACTACTCCCCTTCTTTTTCTTAGAGCATAAAGTGAACATAGGTTAAATGACTTTGCTATTGTTACACAGAAAGTTGTTTAGAGAGGCAGAACAAAATTGTATCCTCATTACAAATGGATGAAATTTTTAGACAATTTTTTTTTTGCCAAAAATGTAGACTTGGGTTGACCAAAATATTTTGCCAATTTGTGTTATTTAAAAAAATAAATTTGGGTTAACCTGAACTGATTTTTTTTTGTATTTTTTTCTTTTAGCCAGAGAATTGAAAAGTCAATTCACATAGATATCTTCTTGATTCTGAGTCTTCATTTTTCCATTAAATAATGTTTTCTCTCATTTATATTAGTATGCTATATTGAGCAAGCTAAGTAGTAATTAGAAATATTTTTTAATTACCATATGTCCAGATTCTCAGCTAATATCAATCAGCATATCTTCATTAATATCAGTGAAGCTAGGCTGCTTTACATTACTGGGAATTGGAAAGACTGTTTGGACACTTTTGTGGGAATCCTTCATTAATAACAAAATCTGAAGAACAGCTCTGTGTAGCTTGAAATCTTGGTACTTGGTACTTACTGTGTAGCTTGAAAAACTTGGAAATCTTACACCAATAGAAATTTGTCCAGTAAAATACTTTACCTCACTTATTTTGTCACTTTCAAATTCTTGTGAAGCATGTAAACATTCTTTTCTTTTTTCTTTTAGACTTCATACAGAACTGGCCCACGTTTAGTATTTTATTTACTTGGAACCCTGTTTTACTACAAAGGAAGTCCCAATTACAAACAAACATATGTCTGGGGTTTCAGAGAGCTTACCTTTTGTTCATTAATTCCAGACCTACCACTCTCATATGTTAGGATGGCAAATAAATTAGCAAAGGATCTATGTCTTAAGATCGGTTTTAAGATCTGGATTATGATCTCACCATACATAAGAAAAATACATATATGGAACTTACTATCTATGAACAGTACTATATATTCCAGTAGGCAGCACTCTTGGTTGTAACTAACTCTTCACATGCATATATAATTAGAATAATAGAATACTAGGACTGGAAGGGATCTTGAGAGGTCATCGAGTCCAGTCTCCTGCCCTCATGGCAGGACCAAGTACTGCCTAGACCATCCCTGATAGACATTTGTCTAACCTATTCTTAAATATCTCCAGAGATGGAGATTCCACAACCTCCCTGGGCAATTTATTCCAGTGTTTGACTACCCTGACAGTTAGGAACTTTTTCCTAATGTCCAACCTAAACCTCCCTGGCTGCAGTTTAAGCCCATTGCTTCTTGTTCTAGCCTCAGAGGCCAAGATGAACAAGTTTTCTCCCTCCTCCTTATGACACCCTTTTAGATATCTGAAAACTGCTATCATGTCCCCCCTCAGTCTTCTCTTTTCTAAACTAAACAAACCCAATTCCTTCAGTCTTCCCTCATAGGTCATGTTCTCTAGACACCTTTAATCATTCTCGTTGCTCTTCTCTGGACCCTCTCCAATTTCTTCACATCTTTCTTGAAATGCGGTGCCCAGAACTGAACACAATACTCCAGGTGAGGCCTAACCAATGAAGAGTAGAGCAGAAGAATGACTTCTCGTGTCTTGCTCACAACACACCTGTTAATACATCCCAGAATCATGTTTGCTTTCTTTGCAACAGCATCACACTGCTGATTCATATTTA